CACACACACACACACACACACACACACACACATATATATATATACATATATATATGCTAGCGGCGCGACATTGGTGCAATTATATGTTACTATAATGCTATATATATGCATGCATTAGCAAATGCAAAAATGAGCCATTAACGTTCCTTTCATCTGGCAGTGTGCGAGATATAGCCTGCCGATCACCAGACACAATGATAAACGAATAACCCGTTTATAATACATGTATGTTTCTGTAATCACGGCCAATCAGTCACGTACGCTACCGTGTGGTGAAGTTTCCGCACGGTAGTCACAACGCACACGGCGCAGGAATGTAAATAATTACAGCGACAGTTTTTAATCGCGACGAGTCTTCGTAATGTATGTAATAACAGGAGGGTAATTGTGATGTATAATTGCTACACTGTTTATTAAGGAATGCTGCCCGGGACGACGAGCGCTATTTAGAGCTCAGTCTATTTAGTTTTAATGTGAATATGCGATTGCACACAATACAAATAGCACAATAACACAATAACACAAGACAAAAAGTGCAGATAATACAAGCACGCAGTAAGTGGTGTGTATTTGTGTGGGGGTGCGTGCGTGTGTGCTCGTGTGCGTGCGCTCGTGTGCGTGCGCGCGTGTGCGTGCGCGCTCGTGTGTACGTGCGCGTGCGTGTGTGTGTAGCGCGTGACATTGAAACCGATGCTGAAAACGAACGTCAAAAACGCTTACGGGGCCCATGCAGCCCCTCTCTTGTTTTCATCGCGAGTGCCGCGAGTATATTTGGCCTAGATACTAACGCATCCGTGCAGAATCCATATAAGTGATACCGGAGATGTTCTCTTATCTATCTTATCTAGGGGAGATTAAACGAGGCTGCCGCCTTCACTCGTTCTACAAGGAAACGAAAACGTCCTCCCACAACCGTATATAATACAGTGTCTATATTACACCGTTTATTTGACAACGGCTATAGCTCATCCGGCTTGGATTTGCCGGCGGATTTTCCCAGACACATAGTGAGAGCAGAATCCATTAAAGGATCTCTCTTCCTCGGCTGACGTTGTAAGAGGCAACAGACATTCCAAGAGATTTGACACAGAAATTCCGTCTGCCAAGAGATTACGGCCCGCCATTAAAAGCATCCGCCTTTGGCTACGACCTTACATGCGAGAGGTCTCGTTAACTTTCTTAGCGGTCTCGTTAAAATTTTCTTAGCGGTCTCGTTAAAATTTTCTATCATTGAGGACACGCTGTATCAGTGCGAGTACGCGATCTCAACGCTATTCACGCTAACACATCGCATAGCGGGGTCGCGCGATGGTACGTGATTTAAATAATGCTCGTTCGCTGCACTATTAAAGTATGCACAGAAGAGGAGATATTCACAGACAAGATATGCCTAGATTCCCTCCGTTGACCAATATATGAGTGAACTGGGTCTATAGGTTGTCGCTCTCGCCCCACCGTGTGTCCGGGACTGCCGAAGGCGGAAAGTTGACGCAGTTGTCCCTGCTAAGTGCCTTTAAGAATGGCCATTTCTAATCCTCTCAAAAAAGTTTTCTCGTTCTTTTTCGCCAAAGGTAGTCAACCGGCGACGACCCCTTTTTGGAAACCCACCCCCGTTGTTATTATTATTATTATTATTATTACTCGTCGCCACGGCGCCGACCCCGCGCAGCGACGCCGCCGCGAGGTCGCAGTCGGCGGCGCCGGAGAACGCGAGCCGGTCATTCTCGTCGACGGCGCCGACGCCGACGGTTTTCTCCGCAAACTCCAGCAGCTTCTCCGACATCTGCTTCTTGACAAGGAGGATCTCCGTCTCCCCGGCGCTTCGCAGCGCGTTCTCGGTGAAGTCGACGCAGCTGGAGAACGACGCGAGCGAGTTCTCGAGCTGCTCGCGCTGCTGCAGAAGCACGTCCTGCTTGGCGGCGTGCATGAGCCTCACGTCGTCGAGCAGCCGCGCCTCTCGCTCTCGCGCAGCCGCCGCGACGCGCTCGAACGCCGCCGACACCTCGGCCTCGGCGTCGGCCGCGCGCGCGGCGAGCGACGCGGACACGTCGCCGACGGCCGCGAGCGCGTCGCGAAGCAGCGGGATCTTCGCGTTGACCTTATCGAGGAGCGTGCGCAGCGATGAGCGGTGCTCCTGGATCGCGTCTGCCAGCACGGTGACGGCGTGGTCGACGTGCTCGAGCTCGGCGCAGAAGTCGCATATCGCCGTCTCGCACGTCTCGCAGTAGAAGCGCAGCTGCTCGCTGTCGTGGCTCGGGCACATGAGCGCCGTCTCGGCGCGTCCGTCCGAGTCCGAGTACTCGCTCATCGCGAGCTCGCTGAGGCTGACGACATGGTGCGAGCGCGTGAGCGTCACGCCGCGGTGCGTGTCTGTGCACGCCATGCACAGCAGGTCACCGCAGTCGGTGCACTTGGACGTCGCGCTCGCGTTGCGGTGGCAGCACGTGCACAGCGACGGCTCCATGAGAACCTCCATCAGGTTCGAGATGAAGAAGTTGTTCTGCAGGGCGGCGACGCCGCGCTCCGGAAGGATGCTCTGCTGTCTGCAGATGGGGCACGTCAGCGTGAGGCTCTGCGGGGGGATGTACTCGCCGAGGCAGCGCTCGCAGAACGTGTGGAGGCACGGCAGGACTTTGGGAGTCTGGTAGCGCTCGAGGCAGATGCCGCAGTTTAGGAACTGCTTGTCGATCGGCTTCGCGTACGGCACGTCGCTCGTCGCCATGGCGATCGCCGGAGCCTCGAAGGTGGTGACCTGAAACAAGAGAGCAGGTGAGTTACCCCAGTTCGTCGGTTGCGCGGACGCCTCATTCGTAGACAGGTGCTCTACTGATGCACATCAATCACAGACTATAGTGTCTTTACGCCAAACCAGCCGTAAGTAATACACTCATTCTGCCTGCACTGCTCGGGTGCATAGGTAGCTATAGGTCAATCACTGACGGCACACACACGCACGCACGCACGCACGCACGCACGCACGCACGCACGCAC